TACCTCCCAAGATTCATAAAGTATATGGACTTGACACGAAGCGATATTAGTGAGTGAAACTCAAAGTCCTAAACGTGGGACGGAGAGCCATGCGAAGATGAGGGAGACATTACTTTATCACTATATGTAGGTATGTGTATTTCGCAAGCATCTGAATCCAGACTGCGTGCCAAACAAATCACGGTACAATAATCTTTATAAAAGAAGTCCATCATTTGCTCGAAGGTATAATATAGCTAGCTTCCCTAATCAAAAAACCAAGAGAATTTTCTTAGGGAGTTCACAACTGGAGCCTTCGGCTAGCCAAAGCCTGACTCGCAAAGCAGCGGGGCGGTGTGCGAAAGCCGCAATCCATTGGGAGCTGGTGTCCAGTTCATCGGATCATATGCCAATCGGACGGGGTCAAACACCCAAAATGCCCAACCGAGCCGGTGACCACTGCCACAACCGGGTAGGTGTGTGATTTGTACGCCTCCTCTTGCTTGATTTTGGATTTTGGCCAACTCCCCTATTGTGAACCACGAGTGGTCCATCAATCCGGTTATAGCCTCGGATGTGGGCTTTTTTCCTCTCACGTTGGGTTGGGTATGGCTTGAGTTTCCAGTGATGAGCAGGCTCTTGGTGTTGGCAACCAAAAATTATCCAATCAGCTTTGGCAAATGAACAAGAATTACAACGAATAAATAGACACTACTGAAGTATATCAGTAAAGAGCAATTACAGACCGTAAACGGAGAGGATGTTCGACGAAGTACATTGTCACTATACCGATGTCATCAAAAGCTTAGTCTGAAGCTATATTGATATGTTCAGAAGAGAACAAGCACTTACCCGTTTCCACAGAATTGACAACCAGAAGATCACTGACAATTTGAGTCGCACGAACTTTCGGATCATAAATGGCAATGCATGCTTTTTCATCCAAAAGCGCATTACATAACGGAATCGTCTGACTATCCCTAAAATTTGGAATATTACGTAATTGGATAAAAATGTTGAGAATATCGAACGGATGTTCCATGAAAACAATGCAGAAAAACACGGAGAAACGAAGGAGATGAAGTGCAGCAGAATATTCCTCCTATTAAAATGTGATTGCAAAACAACGTAGAAGAACTATTGCACATCAGCCCCGCCAGGTCCTATGTCCCAATCGATATTAACTGCTTGATGAGTCACTGCACCTTAGCCACAGACACGAATAATTAAAGGTACTTGATTGTTGAACATTGTCATCGTTATATTAAGAAAACATTATAGGGATTATAAGGGATCCTCCGAATTTCGCCCGATTGCTTGCACTTGTTTACAACTTATATTTCTTCAATGCCTGCTTTTGATGATTGTCTGCTCATTAAGTATGCCGATGGTGTTGTACACGGCATGATGTTTTCGAACTCCTCCGTGTACCCCAAACTTATGCAGAATATTTCACTGCTCACCGACTGGTCTTCATAACACAATCTTAGAATGAATCCTTCCAAGTGTAATGATGTATTTTCTTTACTGAAGGGAGATCAATATATTGACGTGATGAACTCTTGTCAGCATGTCATTATCAATGATGAAGAAGCTTTCAGAGTATGCTCCGTCAAATATCTTGAGGTCACCATTTCACGCAATCTTTCTTGGTCTCCTCATGTCGTCGAGACATTTCACAAAGTCAGAAAACTCACCTTTTACATTATTCGTTTGAAGATGCTATCTACCCCAACTTACTTAATAAAGTGTTTTGTTTTATCCTGTATCCTTCACCACTGGCTTTATGCATCCAAAGTTATTTTTCCGGGTCTTTTAATCAAAGACTTCAAACTCATACGCACATCCATCAAACACGTATGTCGATACAGCGGCATATCTCTTGAGTATGTTGTGCAGTTTATTATTTCACAACACCTTAGGGCATGCCAGAAACTTTCTACCAGAATACTACTTGACCCATCTCACCCACTGTACCCTCACCTTAGTCAATGTATCTTCACATCTAGCACTCGTTCCATGTATAAACATATAGCAGCACGCACCACTACATACAAGTCTCCTATAATACCGCACCTGGCATGGTTTCTTACCAACGCTGATCTTATCATTGGGACTCTTAGACAAAATCTTTGCTAAATTGGCTTTTTGTTTATGTAACGTATCATCATACGTTTTGTTACCATGTAATTTCCAAAGAAGAGTGATTGTGTAGTAACTGAATGTTCATCCCCTATAGGGAGAATTAAAGCCGCTTCTCGAAAAAAATAGCGAATAAGGCTTCTTCCTCGGGGTAATGCAGTTTTAAATACGGTTGAAAATTGTCCATCTATACCTTTTCCCATCAAGCATTAGCGTAGACCCACACTTTTTTGGCCTTGACCCACACTGCTTCAGCCAAAACTCGCAATTCCTTAGCTTCGACACAAACTCTGAGGAAATCGCTTTCACTGGACACTAGAAACCCCAAAAGCCTTCGTTAAACTTCAAAGGGTCGGTGTAACCTTATTTAACCCAATTCTATGCCGTTCTTTGAATACATTTTTTCAATTACACACTTAATTGCGATGAAGAGTAGGCGGGGAAACCACATAGTCATGAGGACCTGCTGTTTAGTCATGGAAATCGGAAACCTAATCCCCAGGACTTGGAGTGAGAAACCGTGAGTTTAGGCGTGGTATTGAACTGGAGGACAGAAAAGCCGCATACCGCCGCTCTCTTCGATGTGGCACAAGTAAAATTACAATAGATCAGTTAGATTCGGATAATAAGTGACGGAAAAAGAAATTTACGGTGAATTATTGAGGAAAAAAAAATCAACTCAGACGGGACAAATCTTTAGATAATGAGCAATCAAATAAGTACCACACATTTTCTTCTTTACTCGACCACGTTTCGGCTGACGATTCCAATAAAGACTAGCATCGTTTCCAGCTTTGCTGACGTCCGGTTCGATACCACGCCTAACCTATCGGGGCCTTATGTGGTTCACCACTCCAAGTCCCGAGGCTTAGGTTACCTGTTTCCATCACTGAACAGCAAGTCCTCGTGACTATGGGGTTTACTCCATCGGCTGTCCATTACACAAAAATGTGTGATGGAAAGGTTGGGATACACATCCTAATAACCGCGTCACGCACTGCGCGCAGATGAGTGACCTAGACGTTTACTTGAATACCCGTAACATGTATGCGGAACCCCACAGCACATATGCAACAGTCATTAACGAGGGAATCACCAGGCCAAGTAGCAGGAAAGATGGTTCGTCAACTAATCGATTATCCAGATCTTTGGACAATGTGCAATTGATGCGTGTATCGATTATTTCTTGTCCTTACTTTTGGACGGTTAATTCTTGCGCCACATACACGGCGTATCGAAAATGGTTCAGTAGCAAATCGCTTTTAGGATCAGAAACATTGAACTTTGAAAGAGTTTCATAGTAGTGTTCTGTGTTACGGACACTAATTGAGGCTTATTTTATCCGGGAATAATCGGCCTTCCCCGGAAAAAGGTGACAGCAGTGTCACGGACATCACTGATCATACCCGACGTTAAAAAGCAAAACAACGCTATTAGGTCGGATTCAGGAGTACTACGTGAATATGGAAATCGATACTTACCTCGTATCGTGAGTATTTGCTTTGAAAGCGAAGCCAAATATGGCGATTCGCTTATCTTGCAAAGTATTGTTGAATTTAGACACAATACGACGAGCGAAACGTGTTTGTTGGTATTCGTTTAGTTCCAACACCGAGCACCAGTAGGATGCAACCTCAGGTAAATTCAAACTTTCACTGATGTAGATCTGTTGAGTGAATGACAGGGAAAAATGTGGCAATATATGATATGGTACATTCACCAGAGAATAAACAGTAAGCTACGTGACTAAGAGGACATAACAAAATAACATAACACAAAAATTGGATAGAAACGAACAGGATGAATTGTTAGAGAAACTCACCAAATTTAGTAAATCCTTACGAAAGCAGCTTCCTCCGAATCCCAAACTAGCTTGGAGAAAATGAGGACCAATGCGAGCGTCGGCACCAACAGCACGAGATACGTCCCGAATATCTGCACCAGTCTTTTCGCAAATGGCCGATATTGCATTGATACTACTGACTCTTTGAGCCAAGAATGCATTGGCAGCCTGAATCAGAGCCCAGAACAGTGAATATGTGCACTTACCAAAAAAATAAATAACCAGATAAAAAGTACGAAATATATGAAGTAATTATTCGAAAGACTATGGCCGATGTACGTATGGTTATAGTGAAATGTAGCTTAGTGAATAAACAAAGAAGACAAGTATACTGCTTTCAATGAAGTCTTGTGACTATTGTTATAGTACTCGGTTAACAAATGAGTATGCAAACAACGACACCGCAAAAATGACCCATGTGTTTCGGATATGATGATGTATTGCATCTATGAGAACACGATACAAATTACCACTTCTATACCAGTGGTGATCAACAAACCGTATGAATAAAGTAAGGAGTTTAACCTGCTCTTGAATAAGACGGAAAGAAACCTTTGGATAAGATAACTTCGCCATTAACATCTAATATTTATGACATGACGGATCCAAAGGACAATGTCGTCATAAGTGCAGATGACTATTATCGGGAACCACGGGAAAATAGACGTAAAGCAAACAAGAAACATTCTTTAGTAGAAAAAATCATTTGTCGTCACCTCCCATGACTCCATCATAGTTTTCTTATACCCATCGTTTGATTCCGTGCTTTCTTTACATATGCTCGCCAAGACTTGATTAAACATTTCACATTTAACTCACAGTTTCTTGCGAGCAGCACTTAACTAAATGGCACTACAGTCAAACCAGAACACGACATAGGGGTATAAAAAAATCTGCCTCAACATTGGCTTCCGTTGGTGTAGCCAGCCAGGTCGGGGTCCGAGGGATGAGAAATGTCGACAGTTTAGCGTACAGAGGTCGTTGCGCGAATACTGCAGGTTCTGTCTGTTGAAATTTCGTTCCCATCGTGTAAGATGCGGCCCGACGAAACACTGACACCTAATTCTTCAACAACCGGGACTGAACGTATTCATTTATTTCATTATCACTATTATCCAAAACCAGTGTTTAATAGATGAGCTTCGGTTGCGAATGATAGCACAGGAAGTTAAAACTGAATACACAATAATTCGTACACAAGCATGGAAAAGAACAAGAAAAGCAGTTTGTGTTGATGGGAGGTTAAGGGAGATATGGAGATAGAAGAATTAACCTTTTTCAGATTTCTCGGAAGAGCAGAGCTGTATGCTACCGAGCGCGCCCCCAGGTCGCGGATAGGGAAACGGCCGCCATCTCGCGGCTAACCGTGAATAAGGTGGGTTTCGGCCAACCAAATAAGCGGTCGCGGACGAGCAGCGGCAGCGCTCGAGGATGTGGTGGGTTTACTCC